GGTTTAACACTCCCTCTGTGTTTATCAGAGACAGTGAGATAGCTCTTAAATCGTTCACACGCATTTCCTAGTGTATTCATATGCAAAAAAGAGTGGAGTTTCCTCATGAAGACAATCCGCACCTCTTTACTATTGATCAACCTCGTGGACCGTATGAACAATGTTATTACGACTATATTGATCAAGGATTGGATAAAACGAGATTTAAATTTACCGTATGAGTGGGCTTTAGGGCATACTGGAATTAGTGGTGTATCTAGGTCTCACGACATAGCTAAATAACTAATAAATTTTCTGTTTCCGTTCAAAACTAATCGATTTTCTTGCAACTTGAAATAACCCCGTTGGTTCCCCTCTTCGCTATCCCACTTGCTAGAATTAAAAGTCAGATGTAACACAAACTTTAACTCTTTTTGGCCTTATTTCTTCCAGTCTTATTCGTACTGATGAGAAAAAAGTCATCAAGTTGTCTCTCATGAAACAGACGCACAGAAAACGATCTTATCGGAATTGCTGGTGAATTGAAATGCTAAATCGAATAAGACAAACAAGCTCTTTTTGATATAGGAAAACGCTAATTATTTATTTAAAGAGTCTTTTCTTCAATCTTAGTTGTTCGTCACTCGATTTACGGATCTGAGATAGATCGACTGAAGCTACTAGTCGCATTCATTAAATTAAATTTTGTTCAATTAACGCTATTTTGCGATAGCACCGATGCCTGGCTATTTTACAACACGAAAATATACAGTGACGAGTTCTTTTCGACAGTTTAGTAACTTAGAGCTTTACTGGACTATCAATATCAAATATTGACTTAAATTCATAGTTTATCTTTAATATTTCTTCTATTTTAGACTAGAAAATGTCTTCAAAGCCATCTTCCTCTAAGTGTCAACACAAACACTCTAATGGTGTTAATGATCAGTGTTTTGAGGAAGAATATCTTTCATGCCCTCATTGCTCACTTAATCTCTGCTTGAAACATATTAATCTTCACCAGGATTTACTACGAAATGATCTTGAACAGTTGTCAGACGAAACAAACCAATTGAAAATGAATTTAAACTCAATAGCATTTCAAAATTATAGGCAAAATTATTATGATATGGGTAAGTAAAACGAATAATAATTTACGTACGAACTTAATTAATAAATAAGATTTTAATTTTACCTGAGATGTTTGAATGTTTGTTTTATTTAATATCTTCGAACAGAAGATTAGAAGATTAGATACTCTCCAACAATCTCATATAAATCTTTTCTCGTTTTATATTTAGTTGACAAATGGAAGGCTGACATGATATCTCGTGTAAACTCACTTCATATGGTAAGACGTAATGAACTTGATATACTATGTATTCAATCTCAAATGGAATTTGAAACATTCAAAATAAAACAATCGACAATTTTAAAAGAGCAGATATTAGCAAAATTACAAGATTTACATAAACGAGAACAAGTCAATCCACGAGATGTTGAACAGCTAAAACAAACGTTAAACAATGTGACGCACGGTGTGGAACAGTTAAAACAAGTATTAATTCAAGTTCAATGTAAAACTGTTGATGAAGATCACCTGAAAATTAAAAAAAGAGCATATATTGATCACGCGGTATGTGGACGAAAGATACTATTGATTTTTACCGAGAAAAACAGATCAAATTATGTACTAGTATAAGCGAAGATGCTTGCTTCATTGCTGAAAGGCCATTTTGTGAACTATTTAATTTATTACTTTCATTTTTGGTAAACTGCTATCTATGTGGAAAAAAAACATCCTTAAACTGTTGAAATGCGCATTTTCATTAGCGACCATCAAAAGGTCTTTTCACGCTGTGCGAATCTTTTTAGCACATGAGTAGTCGCTATTCTATACAACTTTTTATGTTATCATAACAATTTTTCTGTTATTTTCTTTTAGACGTTAGATGATATTATTAAACTGCCACCATCAGTTTCTACTTCGCCATCATCAATAAGAATTGTTTTTAAACGAAATTCAAGTGGGCAAAATATTTCAGTAACTGACTGTGCCGCTGAAGCAGTCAGTATTTCAAGAATCCCATTCCAAACTAACAATAAACTAAAACGACTTCATAAATAATCAGAAATACACATTAGTTAAGAAGAATAAGCGTGTATAAAATTTTAGTTTTTCTCCTTGTCACGTTTCCTTGACGTTTACGTTTAGAATTTGTTATATCCATCTGAAGATATTTGTTGTATTTTTCTTTTGTTTAACACGCTCAAAAGTTTGTATTTTTTTATGTTGCCAATAAGTTCGTTTTTGATCTCAGTATTTATTTACTGTAGTTTGTTCTTCTGTTAAGTATTTTTTGTGATGTATACTCTTTGTTTGCAGATTAAGTTGCTGCTATGTTTTATTTATCGTGAAAAGTTCTAGAATATTAAATAAAACTATTGATAGTAACAGTATGGATTACTCTGTTATATTTGTTCAATCCTTCAAAACAGGAAGTTATTTTGTAATTAGCCATACTTTCACAACATGAAGGGATAGCTGCGTCTGACCGCAGCAGTCATATACAAGCGCATATCCACCATCACATATATTATTTCTATATGGCCAGTTTATAAGTGTTCTGACGGCCAGTTTTGTTACGCGCCGCCACCGATTTTCTGACCGACGCACAGGTCTACCTGTGACATCGAAATGATATTGTTAAGGTTTCGGATCAAGTTATACCACGCGTATACTCGACGTCCTGATCATGCCTGGATGGCAAAGAATATTTTATCAGGACTACTTTTCTTAAATGCATCGTAGATTCTCGTATTAAAATATTGCCTGAAGCACTTAAAACCTTTTGGTGTTGATTTATAAGATCAGTGGCAGTGCAACCGTTTGTGTGAGAGGAGTGTACACCCCTCCTGCTTTCAGAAATGGGAAATTTCAGATTGGGAGAAATGTGCTGCGATGTGAGCCAAAAGTATGGGAAATTTACTCCAATTTTGCGAAAAAATGGAGTGAGTTTACTCCGATTTCGGCAGAGTGTTACAGTTTTTGCACACATAAAAACAGTTGGATGTAGAATTTAGGATTTTTTTGAAATATATTAGAAAAACACATTATTCCAAACTGTTTTGTGAAATATCTGCCTCAACAGTTTCTATAGAAGCATCCTAGCATGATGGCGTCCTTAAATGGCGGTAATGATGGCTTCCATTATTATTGATATTAGTGCCTCTAGCTTTTTTTGAGTACATCACTAGTTGCAGTTTTCCACACTGATTACAAATATGACGTTTTTAAAAAGTAACAATTTGATTGAAAAACTTTGAAATTAAAATTTTTAAAGTATTTAATTTTAATTTCCTGACATAGGCAGTTTTTTTAAAAAGTTTAAAAATCACATCGTTCGATAGAGAATTGAATTCTCTACAAAATGACTCATTTTGTTTGGAGTTGAGACACTCATAATAAATTTTATAAGCCTTTTATGTTTTTTGCAACTCGATTGTAAGCACTTTTGCGTATTTTAAGAGACTATGATCCGGGTGAGTTTTCGTCCATAAGGCAGTATTAATCAAAGTACAAAATCTTGATATCCCCTACTGGTATTTAGCATTTTAACTATTATAGACCTACTCTTGTCTCCGTCTATAAATGGTTCCATGATTCACATTGAGATGTTCGGAAATTTAATAACTTTGAATGTTTGCGTAGTTATCTGAAATGTTTGAATTAATTTCAAACAGATTTTATATTTATTTGTATATGAAATATACAGAGACAGTATTAGATCAATGCTTATCTTCAAATGCAGTTTGTAGAACAGACTGCATTAAAGGTGTAAGATCATTGACGTCTGTCGTTGCCCGCAAATATTGGTCTCTTTCAAGTATAAGTTTTTGTAAATTTAGACATTGGGTAATTATTAAACTATAGACAATAATTGCTTGATATTCACCATACGTGCGTTCCATATAGTGCCATAATAATTCTGTATAATAATTTTGTGCTCTGTATAGTTGGTGAATATTTTCGACATTCGATTGTATATGATTAGTTTTTGGAGTAAATAGACTTGTGTTAAATATAAATATAATGAGTATTAGTTTGAGAACTGTAGGATTATGGTAAAAAATGCGAAATTTTCCAAGGGTATTTTTTATTCGTCGATGTAAATCCATACCGTGTATTTTTGGCATAATTTCATCTATTTTTGGGTTCGTGATAAAATTTGAGAGCAATATAAAATGTAATGGCATAAATAATCGTAGATTATACTTAATTAATTTTATTTGATCACCAATAATTAATTGATCAAATTCTGGAATTTGTTTAAAAAATGCTATGACACCGCAGTGTATGACTAACTCATTATTGAGAACATCTTGATATTTTACTGTAGAAGACTCGAAATGATTTAAAGGTGGCAGTTGATTAAATGTAACTTTTCGCTCATAAGAAACGATTATATTGTTCAATCGGCACCAATCATTTTGACTTAACATCGTATTATCATTATTGAGGAGACTGAGTGTATGAATCTAGATAGAGAAATACGTACGTGCTCGTTGACATTTATAAAAGTAATTTTATCAGTATAAAACTGTTGATTATCTTATAATAACAATATGAAGAAAAGGTATATTTCATAAAAAAAAGTTTTTGATCTACTAACCGTTTGTGGTTTCTCTTTGTATTTTAACGCAATTTTGAGTTCTTTCAAACGTCTATCGTCTTTTGCTTGGAATTTTCTTTGTTTTTCTTCGTCTGTCTGAATCCATTCTTTTTTCATTTTCAATGCGAAACACTTTTTGAGACGACAGTACGTACAGTTTCTACGGGAGTAAATATTTATAGAACATTGACCACTAAAACGACATCTTAAATCGGGCTAAAGCAGGAAAAACATAGAAAAATCAAAAGATTTATTCAACCTATGATGAGTAACTTGTAAAGAACGAGATAGATACTAAATTAGAGTTTGA